GGTTAACCCACTGGATTTGGATTTAAATTGTCATATCCATTACTTTTACTTCAAATAAATCCTCTCAAAGTAGGTTAACCCTACAAAAAGTTCTAACGTAAACATGGCATAAATATTGTTTATATTCTGCACCTCTATGTGAAGAGGGTTTACATACAAAAGTTTGACACATATCGAAATGATGGTTCAGCTCATATATCGATCAACATCAGATTTATAATAATTATTAAATTTTGGTTGATATCGAAATTGCATGCAGTTGGTACATTCAAGAGGCATATTTTTGCTTCTGGCCGTTTTGTTGGGACGTAAATTTTTTGGAGATGTTCTCAAACAGTCAGTCTATGGTTTCCCATTATACTATGCGACAAAATTTATTTTTTCAATAATAACAGGTTAAGCCCAGCAGATTCTGAAAATAAATTTATAAAATATAAGATATGTACATATATTGGCAATTTGTTTTTTGTTTCGCATTTTATAAGAGATTTACAGGGGGAGATAAAAAACTGCAACAAAGTCAAACGCCATATTTTTTACATTTTTTAAATTTATTGAATGAAAGCAAAAATGTCGGAAATAGAATCAAATGTTAATGTCGGAGATAGCATCAAATTTTTATAAAAACAGCAATAAAGGGATTAAGACTGACCATTTTGCAACATGGAATCCCGAAGAAACAAGCCAATGCTGTTCTATTAATAGACAAGGCACAGTCGACGAAGGGGTTTTTTTGTAGCAGAAAGAATCAACTTACACAATTATGCTACTTCGTTCATTTAAAACGAAAGCATAACAAGTGGAGAAAGATGAAAATTTTAATAAGTGCGGTTGTAAGATTTAGAAGATTCCAAAAGAATTTTAGTTATATTTAATTCTTTGCTCCCTCTTGAGCTTACGATCTCGTCACTTGGGCAAAAAAAGTTTTTTGTCATAGAAGTTATTTTTAAAATAACTTCTGGGCGGAATATCCCAGACAAAAAACAAGGGAACTGATGAGGATTGGTGGCTCTCTCCGAAACCTAGGGTTTTCCTGCCTTACCCCCTGGTAAACATTACCATCGTTCTCCACTATTAAACAAATGTTGTTTTTATAAAAACAACAATAAAGGGATTAAACAAGCCAATCCCGAACTGGTCACCTTTGACACGAATTATTGCCTTCAAACGGCCAATGAAACCATCACACGCTACCCGAATGTTTTTCTGCAGTATTTTGGTCCATTCATGTCGAAACGCTTGCTTGAGGTGATTGGCACTTTGGTATTTTTTGGTGCTAACCTTGCTTTCCAAAATACTCCAGCCACAATAGTCCAACGGATTGGTATCCGGAGATTTTGGTGGCCATTGTGCGCTGGAAATGAAGCGATGAACCTCATTTTGTAACCATTCGCGTGCTGAGTGCGATAGTGCTGAGTCCTGGAATGTCCAAGGTCTTTGGCAAGTAAACACGATCACTTTGTTTGTTTACAAACTGCTGGACAACGAATGTTTTCTCATCGGAGAAAACCAAATTCTGCAGTTCACCACTTTCGGCCAAGCGAAGCAACTCTTTAGCTCTTTTGAGTCTGTTTTCTTTCTGTTGCGTTGTAAGTTCTTGAACTTTGGAATTTCAATGGCTTTACCTCGAGCTCATTTTTCAATATTTGCCGAATAGAATAGAATTCAGATCACGAGCCATTTTTCTGCCACTGCGACGCGAGTTTCGATCAAGTCGCTTCTTTACTTTTCGAACCATTTCCGCTGATGTTGCTGTTTTCTTCCGCCCACTTCCTTGACGTCGTTCTACGCTACCAGTATCACGGTAACAAGCGATGCTACGAGACATAAAAGATTTATTCAAATTTAAATGATGGAGTGCTCTAACGATAGCCACCTGTTGTTTTCCAGCCAAATATTAAGAAATCACATTATCACGCTTGAATTCCATAACGAATAACTTTTTTCTGGAAAATTCTCACAACTGTCAGACAAGTGGCTTAGAAATGACAGCAGTCTGAAGTTGGTTGCAGCTTTTTCATCTCACCCCGTATGTTTACGCGAACCCCTTCTTGTACCTCACCCATAGAGGGTCACATTTTTTTATTACCTTTATCTTTCATAACTTGCCATTTTCCAAAAATTTTCACATATCTCACATAAAGTATAGGAAGTAGTCGATATAGTCCAAATCTGGCATGTTGTAATATTTACATTAATCTTAGGTCAGATACGAATTGGTCAATATTGGCCAACTAATCATAACACATAGCTGGGGGTATACATCTCATCGACTGATTGAGTCTATTCGATATAAACCAAATGCGATCAAAATACTTAATCATATTCATTGTAGTCCTCTTGACTCCAAATTATATCATGTTCAACATCTCTTCAGATTCTGCTTCGACTTAAGCCACCTCAACAAATCTTACTCCCAAATAAGAGACTTACTAGTACATTTTGGCACATGTAACGAATCCAATAGCAAGTGTAAGACAATTCTGTTGAAAAATGAAGGTACTGATCAATTTGAAAATGCATATAGTGTACGAAAAGTATCGTCTTGTTTTTATGTTTTTTTTTTTTGCTGTAGAGCCTTAGAAATGAAGTCCTAGAACTCTGTGGAGCGCTACCACTCTCAAAGAGATATCTTGGTAGTTCTAAAGAGCAGCTGGCCGTCCCGAACCAAAAAATTTGGATGACTAAGGGCTATGGATGACTTTTGCAACATCACTTATATATTAAATAGCTGAACCCGGTGCGCTTCGCTACCCCTTTTGATTTTATATGCATTCAAAATTTTATTTACGAATATATGTTGGTTAAAAAAAAACAAATTTTATAATTAAAAAAAAAAAAATTATTGCACTACTTTAATGCGTAAATATACAAAACCATTAGAAAAACAGTAACATGACATACATACACGAAGGGTTTGTCCTTCTGATTTATTTATTTCATAGCAAATACCAATCGTGCAGTAAACTGCAATCTTTTGAAGTTGAGTGGCATTTCTGTTGCAATTAATGAATTCGAGATAGCAACATACTTCGCCGTAATAAGCGTATTTCAAATTAATTGTTGTGTTGTTGTTTAGTGTTAGCCTAAGGCGTTGTGAGTCAATGGTTCTTATTAAAATCATATCCCAATCTGATCCGATTTAAATATAATTTTAAAAAAATTACTTTTACACCAAATTCCGCCACACCTTTCATATTTCATTGAAATTGGTGCGTCAAATACGTGAAATCGGCCGAGAATATATATATGGGAGCTATATCCAAATCTTAACTAATTTCCAATTAATTTGTCACATTTATTATTGTAACCACACATATGTTAGCTATACCCAAACCTCAACTGATTTCAATAAAATTTGGCAATTTTTTCTGGTGCCAGATTTCGTCTTTCTCGCTTTGGGTGCATCAAATATGTAAAATCGGCTGAGTATATATATGGGAGCTATAATTAAATCTGAGCGTATTTGAAAATAATTTGTCAAATTTATTTTTGTACCAAATTTAGCCACTCATGCCGAATTTCATTGGAATCGGAAATACGTATCGTGTTTTGTGCATCAAATATGTGAAATCGGCGGAAGATATATATGGGACCTATATCCAAATCTGAACCGATTTTAATATAATTTGACTAATTTATTTTCTAATCAAAATCCCGTTACATATTCCAAATTTCTTTGGAATCGAACATACATATCGTGCATGGTGCATAAAATACATGAAATCGGTCGAAAATATATATGAGAGCTATATCCAAATCTGAACCGATTTTACTATAATTTGACAAATGTATATTCGTTTTAATTTCCCCTACAGATTCCAAATTTCATTGAAATTAGAGATACATAGCGTGTTTGGTGCATCAAATACATGAAATCGGTCGATAATATATATGGGAGCTATATCCAAATCTGAACCGATTTCAATATAATTTGAAAAATTCATTTTTGCTCCCGATTCCGTTACTTATTTTAAATTTCATTAAATTTGGACATACATATCTTATTTGGTCCACCAAATACATGAAATCGGCCGAAAATATATATGGGAGCTATATCCAAATCTGAACCGATTTCAACATAATTTGGGAAATAAATTTTTTTATATAAATATAATTTAGCAAACTTATTTTTGTTCCAAATTCCGTTACACATTCCAAATTTGTATACTGTATCTTTAACCGATCAATAGATATGTGCATATAAAATCTAAATTTTTGGGAGGTACCTCCGATTCTGATGCTATATCTCCAGTTCCAAGTGGAAATTCAAAAATGTATATAGCCTATGTTACTTTCAGGCGATGTTGCAGTATATATGGAAATTTTCAGAAAAATCTATTCAGCAGTTTTCGAGTCCATAAATTACAAACAAACAAACAAACAAACAAACAAACAAACAAACAAACAAACAAACGTACAAACATTTTCCTCTTTTATAGATATAGATTATATTAATTATATTGTTATATTGAATTTTTTACTCCGTGTGCAATATTCGTCGGTATATATATAAATGAATGTTTGATATTTTAAAATTTTAATGAGAAGAAAAAGATCCTTGCAATAATTTCTTACAATTTACAATATGTGGATGTTAGGATATCCCACTTTTCAAATTAAAAAAAAAAATTATTTTATTACAATTGACATTTTTCATTATAAACTAAATTTTTAAAATTTCTGGCTACCTCTTAAACACAAATTGATTTTACAGTGTGTAAACCTAATGCAATGTGCACAGCTTATTAAATTCGCAAACCGCTTTTTCTCTTTGCGCCTAATGGTATGTTACATTTTTTTAATAAAATATCTCATTTAGAATGACTGTGATTCACCATCATCCAAATGTATATTAAACAAAACAACCTCTTTATTTTAAACAAAGTACTTCTACATACAGATATACATTCTGCGGTCATTACTGTTGCTGGATTGTTGTTGTTCATGATATTGGAAAAATCTTTTAATCGCTACAAGTACAACAACGACAACAGGCAGCAACGGCGCAACGCAACGCATCGCACTGCCACTCGGCAAACAAAATTTCTGTGGATCAATAAATTTATAGACAGTCGATCGTTGATCGCCGGCTGGCCACAACGGTAAAAAAGACAAACAATAACAACATTTAATTCATTGATAAAACAAAGTGGACGCACAAAAAAATAAATGAGTACTAAAATAAAAGAATAAAGTAAAATTATTCTCTGCGAAATGATAAAACAAAGAAATTCGTAAAATACGTTAATTTACTGCCGTTTTTTTATTTGTTTGTTTCTCGGCGTGTTCCATTTTTTTATGCGAAGTGGAAACGGTCTCAAGTGTCGGTAAACAAAGAAATCTCTTTCTTTGCCATGTTATAATGGATACAACAGTAGAGCCGATTCTGCGAGAAAAATGTTCAAAGGATTTCATTCGACCTGCCATTGTTCAAAGTTCAAAAGAAAATGCGGAAGAGGAAACCAGCGTTAAATTGTTAACAGATCACAAAGAATTTGTCAATAGTTTACGACGCACGAAACAACCGTGGAAAGTTCCCTGGTTCATAGTGATAATGTGTTCATTGCAGGTATGTGCATATGTATGTACGTACGTTCGTGTGTATGTATGTATATTTATTATCAATTAAATTTAATATGTCATAAAATGTCAATAGAATCAATCAATTAATCAATAACCGATTGATTAAATTAGGCCATTAAATGTGTGAATAAAAATAAAATCAATGAACAGGCGGAAGTGAATATGCCAAGAGAATATCAGGGCAATTAAACATAAAAGTATATGGACTATTTTATTCCGCAAGGATTGATCCCTATTACGAACTTCAAATACCGAATTTCAGACAATGCCATGAGGGAAGAGGGAAATTCAAATTAATTCGTCTGCGCCTCAGATGGTCCATCCTCTTATTCTAATTTTTTCGTACTCTTTCCAACATTTCGGCCGGTACCTGAAGGTATTGAGGCAGGCTAGTCTGTATAGGCTTTAGTCGCACGACCAATTAAAGGGTGCAGAACGTGAAATAAAATATTCACCGAGCTCATCCCTCACTAAGTCCATTGTAACGCGTGCTGTGTGGCATGTTGCAGCGTCTTGTTGAAACCACATGCCAAGCAAGTCCAGCTTTTGCATATGACCTTCATGGCTACAATATTTCCCTCAGTTCGCACTTTACAGGGTGAGATGAAAAAACTGCAAACCGAATATTAACGCGAAAATATTCTGGAGAGTGTATTGAAGCCTTAGGCATGCAAACATTTTTGCCGCAGACTTTGGACGTGCCAACAGGACTCAGCACCATCGCATTCAGCACGAGCCACACAAGAATGATTACAAAATGAGGTTCTCGTTTCATTTCCAGCACACAATGGCCATCAAAATCTCCGGATACCAATCCGTTGGACTATTGTATCTGGAGTATTTTGGAAAGCAAGGTTGGCACTAAAAAATACCAAAGTATCGATCACCTCAAGCAAGCGCTTCGCCGGGAATGGGCCAAAATACCACAGAGCAACATTCGGGTGAGCGGGTGACGGTTTTATTGGCCATTTGAATGCCATAATTCGTGCCAAAGGTGACCAATTCGAACAAGTCTAAACTTATTCTAAAATCTGGTGCCATTTCCGACATTTTTTTGGAAGCTGTAGCTATATCTGAACCGATTTTCACCAAAATTTGAAGCACTTGCTTCTGGGATGAATCCGTTGGAAGTGGCAAAATTCAGTTCTGCTAGGCTGATAATAGCCATTTGGTGTATGATTAACCTGCTATCGGGTGAAGATATATATGGTAGCTACATCTAAATTTGAACCGATTACAATTTCACCAATTTCAGTAGCTTTCCTGGGCCAAACAAATATTGTTTGGAAAATGTCATCTGAATCAGATAAAAAATTCGACCTGCATTTTGTTCACAAAAATAAATGGACAGACTGGCCTGTCCGACATGCACAAAACGACTCAGAAAGTGATTCAATGAAGATACTCAAAAGTAACTATGGGTCTATCTCGCGTTCTTCTTCATGTTACAAATAAATACACAAAGACACAATTGGAAAGAAAGAATTTTCCTAAATGGAAATGGCGCCCAATATATGTTTTTATTCAAATTCAAATTTGAGACTACCATATATTCAATATTCATTCAAATTTGTTGTGTAGAAAAAAATATTTCTATCAACGCTCAAGCGCTTTTCCTGAATTTATTTTTGGCAGGTGTAAATTGAGAATTATTGACGGCCGTTTCCCGGTCATTCTCTGGGTAAATTAAAATTAAAACAAGTAAGAAAAGGCTATAGTCGTGCGGGGCCGACCATGTGATACCCTACAACACTACAATATGTTAGAAGCCCCCTTATGTCCAAATCCATATTGGAAGGTTTCGCTTTTGATATTAAGATTTTGACTAGGGACATTTACCCAACATTTATGCACTCCGTCGGATTGTTAGTTGTTGTAGTCCATTTTACAGATAAATGTAATCCAATGGTCAGCTAAAATTCTAGAATTCTTCCATGTCCTTAACTCTCTTCACAAGCGTGTCAATTGGCTTCAATTGTGTGATCGGAAAAACATTTTTGTTTTTGGTTAATTGGAACCCCTAAATATTTTGCAACCATCTCCAAACGCCAGAAGCCCCTCTGTATCTCCAAATTTAGACTCATCTATATTATTTGTTTGTCTACGATATTTGGCTATATTCGTCAACGAAATAAGCATAAAAAAGCCAGAAGTGCGCCTTTTGTGTATTTTGGATATCGCCTGTAAGTAATGCTGGCATTTTTTTCACACAAAATTAGTGGTCCATTGTACCCGCTGTCCTACCTCTAACTTTATGCGAGATTTCGTGTCCTTTGGTTTCTATTTGTGACCTTTATAACGGCTGCAAAATCAGGAAAATTTTTAGTTGTTGCCCTAATATATTGCGGACATCTTTAAAAACAATAGGCCTAGCCTTCTGAGCCCAACCCTACCGTTGTGCAAATTTTCGTGAGGATCGGACGATATTTGCAATACTTATATAACATCCCCAACCTGTGTTGTAAGGTGAAAAAAATATTACAAAATATTACAAGTCAAATTGAAAAAATCGCATGCGATAAAAAATATGAAAAAATAAAAAAAATGTCACAAAATACTACAAAATCTATATTAACATCTTTATTGGCATATTTTTCTGCGATTTTTTTAGATTTTATACTTTTATGTCAAGAGGGCATTCTGAATTGACAAAATTTGTCAAAATCGGCCGAGCCATTCTTGAGATATAAGCATTCTAACTAACATCCCCTTCCTTTGTATATATTCATTGTATATATTCCGCTATATATATCCAATATATTTAATATCGGCGTCTACGTAAAGGTCAGAATTGTCCTGTTTGTGTATTTATGATTTCGCCGGGACTAAAAATATTCGCGGTCTAATGGAAAAATTAACTTTTATTTAACACAAATGTTATAGTCTATTTCACCCACTAAATATTTCCCGATGACCATCAAAATTGGAAGGCTTCTGTCCAGCCTTAAGCTCTAGACCCATGCTAATTTCCGCGTCGATTGGTCCATAATTCCGACCTGTACAGCAACTGCAAAATCAGGATTTTCTTCAGTTTTTGGTCCATTTCGACCCCTAAATTTTATGCGATCATCTCTAAAAGAAATAGGGTGCTATTCTGACCTTAACCTCACCTCCCTACCAAATTTCGTGACGATCGGGCCATAATTGCGACCTGTAGAGTGATTACAAATTAACATGGACAGACGGACGAACGGGCATACATAGCTAGATCGACTCAGCTCGGCGAGATAGGATAGATAGATAGATCCATATATACTTTCCTATGTGGGAAACCAATATTTCGTGGTGTTACATAATTTTTGGCCCAATCAAATTTATAATACCCCAAACACATAGTGTTGTAGGATATAAAAAAAAATTATTGCTTTTATTTTCCTAAATTCCATTATCAAATCACCTGCCAAATAATTATTCATGTTTAACTAATCAGACATACATACGTTTTTACAGTCAGACAAAAGTTCATTAAAATTAGATTTACTAATTATTGCAATGCATCGAATTACCAGCGGAATACTAAGTAATGCTGTGATCAAACAAAATTCTCTTGTTGTTGTTAGTTATGTGTCAGTCGATGACGTCTGTCTGGTGGTGGTGGTGGTAGTGGCAATTAGTCCAAACCGCAGTTAACTGTGGTCTAGTGATTAACTTGTTCCACTAAAACTAAAAACTAAATCGTCATCACCTGGATACAAAAATGTAAAGCAGGCCATTTGAAAGGGTATCGTATTACCAGATGCTGGCTGACTGGCTGGCTTGCCACTATCAAACTGCACTAGCTACCAATTTGGCCAAATTCAACAGCAACACCAACAATTCGATTCGAACAATTGAACATCCATCTAATCTGACCAGTGAACACGTTCAAGAGATTATATTTGACAAATGAATCGTAACATTTGTTGTCTCAAACTATTTTAGCCAGAAAAGCAACACACACACATACATATCTAACGATATCATTCAGTTTCATCGGAAAAACATCCACCCGCACACAATGCTTTGTGTGTGTGCATGTGTGTATGTATCGGTGTGTGTGTGTGACAGTTGCCAAACAATAGCTCATAAAATAAAACTTGATTGCATTGCCATGCAACGATGATCGATGAAATACAAATGCTTTTGGACATTTATGCTTCATTTGTTGCAACATGCAATGCAATGCAACCACCAACAACAACTAAAACACTAAACGCCATCGTTGAACTATTGCTTGTGCACCATGTTGTCGATGATATTGGCAACTTCAACTTCAATGTCAACAGACAACATGCTCCAATATGCACCCCACACGTTCAACAACACACACACACACTCTATTTGTGGTTTTAGGGGGCAATGGAACAGATTTAACTGCGGTTGGAGTTTTCCGCACACAAACTTTGTTGTTTGTTGGGTGCCACCAAAAACATCTGTGGTTATGGCACACAAACAATTTTCGTCGATAGTCTGATAGTTTTTGTCTTTGGCATGGTTAGTTTAACGTGAAAATATCTAACTAATGAAGTGAGAAGGATGTAGAACGGAAGTGGCTAATCGTAGACAGTTATATTTGGGAATTATTTTATCTCATTATTTGTTTGAATTTCTAATGGAATTTCAATTTTAACCAAGGTCACAGTCTGAAAGCTTACTTGGGTTCGCTCATTATGAGTCAATCGGTTCTTTTGAAACAAATGTAACTTAGATATTAAGTGACATATTTACATAGAATTTACATGAGCTTAAATTGCCATAGACCGGCCAGCATATATTTGTATATGCCAAACACAAATTTAAGCTTATCTGCTGCTTCGTACTCAAAAGATACGAAAAATACAAAAAAGCAAAAAATCGGAATGTCGAATGTAAATAAATTAAACAAGTAAGCAAAGGCTACAGTCGAGCGGGGCCGACCGTTGAATACCCTACAACACTATAATAAACCATACCGTTTATATAGGCGAAATACTCGACAGAATTCCACAAGATATTGTGACAAATAAT